AAACTCTGAACCCTAAACTCTGAATCGTAGTTCGGGTTGAGGTGCTTCTTCGTGTCCTGGGCCTATAGGGCTTCAGAGTTTCGCTTCTTTCGGGGCTTCGCACTACACAGGGTGGGCTTTCGGGTTGGTTTAGGGTTTAGGGTTTAGGGTTGGTTCTATAATGAATTGAGGAGTTTCGGGTTTAGGGTTTTGGGTCAATCGGAAAGGGTTTAGGGTTCAGGGTTTTAGGGTTTTAGGGTTTTGGGGGTTCGGGTTTAGGGTTTCGGTTTTGGGTCAATCGGAAACCCTGACGCAAAGACCCCAGCATCTCTTAGTGTATACGTAAGGAACGTCCCTGAAACTACTGCTGGGATCCTAAGCATAGATTCGTTGCAGAGCCTTGATTTCAGAGCCCTTACAGAGACCCTAAGCACTAAACGCTGAACCTTTACACAACCACTACCCCCTGAGCTAGGGGATTCTGGGCGTTCGGCAAACTCCCGAAATCTTCAAAGCCTTTTCATACGTAGGAAGTGGGATCTAACCGGATCACCCATCTGGGGTTGTGCATACCAATGTGACCTTCATCCAGACAGTTTTCCTCACTAGCGTTACGACATTCGTTCGAACTGCCTCAATCTGGGATAGGTCGCTCCTAAACCCTAAACCCTAAACCCTAAACCCCTAGACCCAAATCGTAGGACTGCTCGGCTGATCTCCGTTGGGTGGTGGCTGATGGTTGGGAGGTCTTGGGGTCACCACTGCAGCAACAGCCCCAGGGATCGCACGGTTGGAACGTACGGCAGGCTCCCTGCTTTAAGAGCACAGCTAAGTGTCCTGGAAGGATGGGTTCCCCTGACACCGCAAGCACATTGGTGGTTGTCAAGATTATGGTCCCTTTTTGGGTCCTTATTATAATACGGCACCTATTATTTAGGGTACCCCAAAAAGGAACCATAATTTTGACAACTACCCACATTGTGGCTTGTCACCCGTTCAGGAACGAGCTCCTGTGCCTATTGTCCATGTTCCAAGCCTTGCAACCCTCTGACTGGCTTGAAGCCTCGGCGCCAGCGCCGTCGCCGTGAAGGGGATTCAGCCAGCTCGTCAGATAAAGATTGCGATGGCTCTGTTGATAAGCGTGTTGAGGCTGTTCTTAGTCCTAGCTCGAGGGGTTCCTGCTCAACAAGATGAGCCGTGGCTTGCATGAGGATGGGGAGCACAGGCACGCGTGCGGCCGGTAAAGGAGCTGGAGGCCCTACATTGGGAATTCCGTAGGGACTTTGCTGCAGAGGACGCCAGTTCTGCTGAAGGTCACTTTTGAGTCCTACTGTGTTCCGGTTACAGCCGGCGCCGTGCAGGGACAACAAGGGCTGCATTCTGTGCAGCGTGGTGTTCAGGCCGACACTGCCCGGAGCCCGGAGCTGCCCGTATGCAGTGATTTCGGGCCCAGAGCCGGAAGTTGGCCCTGCGCTGTCTGTCTGTCTG